CCTAAAAAAAAAAAAAAAAAAAAAAAGAAATATACTAAGTGCTTAATGATGTTTTGAAAATATAAAGATGAGTTAAATTTGATCATAAAAGCAATGGAATGTGACTTTCTAATCATTGAATTAATTAATTAATTATATCTGATTCCATACTACATTTTTTAAAATATGGCTTCCTTTGGAAAATATATAAATATATTGCAAAGCAATATACTTACCTGCTCTTCTCTGTCTTAATTCTTTTAACATTCAATTTCCAGGTAACAAATGCTTTATTAATTCTGGAAGAAAAAATACTTCTTACATTCTAGATTTGTAAACTATGTATTTATATGGAAATAATTGATCAAAGGCTGAGAAATATTAGAAAATTCTCTATAATATATGTTTCATTCATCCTGAGTTATCTAAACCAAGCACCAAGCTCAATGTCTTTGAATCAGTTCCAACTCATAGTGATCCCCATTGGATTTCCAAGGCTATAAATCTTTATGGAAGCAGACTGCTTCATCTTTTTCTACAGAGCAGCTGGTGGGATTGAGCTACTGACCTTTTGGTTAGCAGACAAATGCCTTAATCACTGCACCACCAGAGTTCCTTGAGTTATCTAAAGTATTAAAAATACACATAACTTTTCTCCCTGGCTGTCAAAAGATCGTCCAGCAAAAAGCAAATGTTAATGAAAGTTAGTAAAAGTCATTATAATTCTGGCAGATGCATAATTCACATAGCTGTACTATTCCAATAAATATAAAACATATTATTTTCCTTTTATAGTACAATAATAGCTGCATAAGCCAGAACCTTTGTAGGGTAGAAACCTGTCAGGGAAGAAAAACTCAAATATCTTCCTGTCAAAGGCAGAAAACTTGTGAGACCCAGGAAAACAAGGCTGTCTCATCAAGTTAATGGCTTTCTCACATTTCACTGAATACATATATTCACTTCTATTTTGCAAAAGAAATTCATTTTGAGAAGGGTCAAGATTCAGTTTCAGTGATAATGAAAAAATACATTGATAAGAAATGTTTCCACAGTGGTAAGGAAAAAATTTAAATATGTCATTTTGATATTATTTAATATTTTTGTTAAAAATACAAAAGTGTTTGTAATTTTAAAAATTCAAAGATGAAATCAAGAAACACATTTGTGAGAACCTACTAGCAGAGGAACAGAAAAGTTTCCATGGTGATTATTCATCACCTATAACTTTCATATATGAAATAGACATGTTAACTGTCTTTATGAATCCTTCTCAACTCCTCTAAATGAGTATTGCTTCATATTTTATGCTAGTCTAGTGCCATACTGCAATCTCTCACTCAGTACTTTATCTTGAGGAAAACATCTATCCTGAAATAAATACTGAGATGTGATACTTGTTTACCCAAATGAGATTCCTTACATAGCCAATAACAGTGAGTAGGGAGGTGGGAATGGTAAAGACATGAGCATCCCAAAGACCAACCAAACAGCCGCAATTAGTGGTGATATTGGCTGATTATGAATCAAAGAAAACTGAAAGAGGCCTGGGGCCATCTAAACTGTTCCAATAGAATTCCCATGATGTCCTTATTCAAACAGGTACACCTGAGGCCATAGAAATCAGACATGTCTCAAACAAATCTAGTAATTTGACCTAAAATCAAACTCCAACTGGGCATTCTAAAAAGTGGCTATTTCACTTTAACCTAGATTCACCGGGCCATGATACCTTTCAAGATCTAAGAAGATCTTGAACTTTTCCAGAATATGAAAACCCACATGAATCATAGAGGATCCCAATGATAGTATGTTGAGTATGTGCACCAGGCCACAGAAGCTAACACTCCAGAAAGTTCGGGAGGTAAAGGTTAATGCTGATGATCCAGTCATCTCTGTGCTATATACACAGTATCACCAGCATAAGTTATTAACACTTCATATTTATCTTATTTTCCCATTTGAAATGTTACTTTTTTATATTAGTGAAAAATTTTTTAATTAAACAAAATTTAAACATAAAATAAATTTTAAACATGTTTAAGCCTGACTAAAATTTAACTTACATTTATTTTCATGTGAATAATAATAATAAAAAAGAATCACTTTGACTGTGGACTTACTTATGGCAAATATCACTTTAGAAAGCTGAGTCTTGTCCCCATTTCAACTGGGTTTCAAATTTTTCAGTAAAAATTGTTCAGAATAGAGTATACCCTGGTGATTTATGACCAGGTAAACATGATACTGGTTCAGTCCTATATCTGACATAAGGAGCTCTGGTTGTGTAGTGCCTAGGGTATTTGACTGCTAACCAGAAGGTTGGTGGTTCAAGTCCACAAGACACTCCATGAAAGGAACACAGGGCAATCTACTTCCATAAAAATTTGCCACCTCAAAAAACCAATGGGGATCTCTATGAGTCAGAATGGACTCAACGGTAGTGGATTTGTTTTTGTTTTTTGTTTTCTGATGGTGTCAAATAAACAGATACAGAAAACAGAATATTAGATAATATCATGAACTGATAACCCAGAATCAAAAACATTTCTAGCCTCCATACAAGTGCGTAAATTCTGGGGATGGAGCAATCATACATATTCTTGAAAATCACCTATGCTGCATGTGACTCTGGTCCTAAACAGTATTAAAACCAGCTTCCCTTCTTACTCATCTCTTTGATGATCCCATCACAACCAACATTTCTACTGCTGAACACACACTAAATTCCCTTCTGCCTTAGAATTTTTGAACTTGATATATCCTCTGCCTGAAACTAATCTCTCTCAAGTCTCCACATGGCTGGCTTCTTATCAATATTTAGGTCTCTGCCACATCATTGACCATCTTTTTTTGAAGCAGCAACAAATTCACTTTTCTGTTTTATTTCCCTGTTTTATTATCTTATCACTATCTGAATTTATTTTGTTTATTTACTTATTTTATTATCTATTTCCCTTCATTAGAATATAAGTTCTATTGGAACAGACACTTTTATATATTTTCATGGTTCTAACTCCAGTACCACTATTTCAGTGGGACAGAATAGGTACATAGTAAATACTTGTTCAATAAATGAATAACTTCTCTGCCACAAAATATATTCACTTCTCTTACAAAGCAGTTCCTGAGGTTCTTAATTATTTACCACATTAAACATAAAAATTTATTTTTTGTCTATTTTTCTAGTGCCCAGCAGCAGATCAAAAAAAAAAAAAAAAAGAGACAGAAGGGAAGCAAGTAAAAAATATATAAAACTAGACACAAACACTAAAAGTACAAAACAGTTTGGACTGCTTTGTGAAGGATCAGAGTGCAATGAATACTGATATAATGCAATGTAATGCAGACCTAGACAACTTTTTTAATGATCTAGAATCAATAAATTCCTTCAATCATTCTCACTCCAATTTTCCTTCATAACATTTCATCTTTGCCTGACATTTTTACTTATGTATGTGCTTATGTATTATCTGTATCACCCACTATCATATAGGTTATTTGAGAGCAGGGGAATTACTTGGTTTGATCAATAAAGTATCCCCAGCATCTAGAATAACACCTGTAAATGTATTAAAACATAAAGTAATTACATTTTAAGTCTGCTTGACTATAAACTATCTTTTTCTATAATGTTGCTCAAAATGGTTAAAATTAAGAATTTTAATACTTAAATGGGTTAGCTTCCTTTAATCTGAAAATATTTTATGGAATACTCTATTTCCTCTATAATTTCCCATAAATATGACTGTCCAGGCAATTGCTTTTTCAAATTATAAATAGTCAGTTTTTCTTCATCTCACCGGAAATTGAAAAATATCTTGAAAGTCTGTAATAAGTAATAACATTTTCTTTCCATTAACCATTCCATAATAGGTAGGAGTTCTATTTCTTCTGTATCATCTATTTTAGTAACCTGTAAATATAAAGCACAAAACATTATTTCATAAAGAAATATATGCTATTTTCAAGAAATTAAGACAGACTTTAGTTGGCTCATAACTACTTACCTTTATAATAAAGCTTTTCCTAGATCTGTGCCATCAGCCATTTCATCTACATCCAGACTTGATTGCTTTTCACACACTGATTCTACCTATATTTGCTATTTTCTAAGGTTCTTTCTTGTGCTCCAATAGAGAAAATGAAACATCCTCCTCACCCTGAGATACTTTACACAAATAGCTATTAAATTTTGTCATGTAATTTTTATATTTTCTAAAAAATAATAGTATTTTGGAACTCAATTATAACTATAGGGACGTAATAGTCACAAAGTGGCTACACAGATACCCCATGTGACATTAAAAAGCTACACACCCTTCATCAAGGAATTCTCTCTCTCTTCCCAAGAATCCTGCTCCCCCAACTGAATGTTAACATTTTCAAGAAATGTCCTCCATTAATGAAAATGCCTACATCAGCACATACATGTCTACATGTATAATTTTTATTACATAGAGGCTTTTTCATCATTCTCACTTAAAAATGCAGATTACAGATATGTCCACATGTGCACATTCTGATCTACTTAGAGATGTGATCCTGTTTTTTGCATAGTTAGAGTTTAGTAGGAATGCTGGGGGTGCAGAGGTAAGCAGACAAAGATTAAATAAATGTTTAAGGAAAGAACTGTATAATTACAACTTGTGATAAATATCAAAATGCTATGTAAGAGTATAATCAGGGGATTTCTATATCTGACAATAAAATTTCTGACATATTCTGCCAATAAAGGGCACTTACCAAACCAAAAAAAACATACCCACTGCCATCAAGTTGATTCTGACTCATAGCAAACCACATTAGGTTTCCAAGGCTGCAAATCTTTACAGGAGTAGATTGCCTCACATTCCTCTCATGGAGCAGCAGATGGGTTTGAACCACCAACCTTCTGGTTACCAGCCAAATGCTTTACACACTACACCACCAGAGCTCCTTAAAGGGCACTTTATAGTTGTTATTATTACAGGTTCTATTATGCCAGCATAGCAAGGATTGTAAGGATGGCATAGAACCAGGCAGAGTTTCATTCTGTTGCACACAGGGTCACTATGAGTTGGAGCTGAATCCTCAAACCTGAAAATCTAAGCAGAAGAAAGATACAAAAAAAAAAAAAAAAAAACACCAAACTCACTGCCGTCCAGTCAGATCTGACTCTTAGCGATGCCCCCTTGGGTTTCCGAGGGGGTATCACTATGGAAATAGATTGCCCTACCTTCCTTCGGAGGAGTGGCTGGTAGATTTGAACCACCAGCCTTCTGGTTAGCAGTCAAATGCCTTAGGCACTACACCACCAGAGATCCCAGAAGAAAGATAGGTAGAATTAAATAACTTTCTCCTAAGAACATTCTTAGGAGCTCTGGTAGCATAGTGCCCAAGGCACTTGACTGCTAACCACAAGACTGGCAGTTCAAACCCACCAGCCACTCCTCGGAAGGAAGATTGGGCAATCTACTTCTGTAGTGATACTGCCTTGGAAACCCAAGGAGGGGTTGCTATGAGTTCAGTCTGACTCAACGGCACACAACAACAAGAACATTCTTAAACACAAGGAGAATTTGGCTCATTGTTGAATAAACTGCTCCTCAAATGCCAGGTTTGTCTGAAACGCACAGACATAAATTTATCCACGTACACTCTATATTAGGAAATCCTTTTCTATTATGATTCTGAAAGCTGAAAACATCATGATATATTACCTTTGAAATAAATGAAGCAGTAATAATCCAAAATTCTTTGCAATGTCTAGCTGTGTGAGCAGAGACTGCCTGAAGATCATATGGATTGTAAGGAACTTTAGGATTACAACGAGGAAGGCAATATACATATTCTCCATCATCTTTCAAAGGTTCCTGAGGTTAAAAAAAAAAATTGTTACTCAGTAATTTGACTAAATTAACTAGTAAAATGGCCTAACACATTACTAAGTAAATTGAAACAATTTTTATATAGATTAAAATAAAGATAATATCATCGAGGAAAGCTACCTGTATCTAATCAGAGCTCAACAAGGTCAATCTCAAAAGATGTACTTTAATATTTAATTTGCATTCTTAAACGTGGCATGTTGGCAGAATATTCATGAAAATTTATTTATATGCTTATTAATTAACACAGTCTTGCTAACTCAAAGGTCTTGACAACATGCCTTTTATATATATGCCATGTAGTTGTTGTTAGGTACCATCAAGTTGGCTCTGACTCCTAGTGAACCTATGTACAACAGAATGAAACACTGCTCAGTCCTACGTCAGCCTCACAATCCTTGCTATACCTGAGCCCATCATTGCAGCCACAGTTTCAATTCATCTCATTGAGGGCCTTCCCCTTTTTCATTGACCCTCCGCTTTACCAAGTATGATATCCTTCTCCAAGGAATGGTCCCTTCTGACAACAACACCAAAGTAGGTCAGATGAAGTCTGGCCATTCCTGCTTCCTAGGAGCATTCTGGCTGCACTTCTTCCAGGACAAATTTGTTAGTTCTTCTGGTAGACCATGGTACTTTCAGTATCCTTTGCCAGCACAACTTAAAAGCATCAACTCTTCTTCAGTCTTCTTCTCAGTGTTACCCATAATTTGTTATGATCCACACAATTGAATGCTTTTGCATAGTCAATAAAACAAAAGTAAACATCTTCTTGGTATTCTTTGGTTTCAGCCAAGATCCATTGAACATCAGCAATGATATCCCTCATTCCATATCCTCTTTTGAATCCAGCTTGCATTTCTGGAAGTTCTCTGTCAATATTCTGCTGCAACTATTTTTGAATTATCTTCAGTAAGATTTTACTTGCGTGTGATATTAATGACATTGTTTGAAAATTTCCACATTCTGTGGGTTCACCTTTCTTTGTAATGGGTACAGATATGGATCTTTTCCAGTCAGTTGCCCAGGTAGCTGTCTTCTAAATTTCTTGGCATACATGAGTGAGTGGCTCCAGCACAGCATCCGTTCATTGAAACATCTCAGTGGGTATTCCATCAATTCCTAGAGCCTTGTTCTTCGCCAATTCCTTCAGTACAGCTTTGACTTCTTCCTTCAATACCATTAGTTCTTGATCATATGCCACCTCCGGAGCTCCAGTGGCATAGTGCCTAAGGCATATGACTGCTAACCAGAGACTGGCAGTTCAAACCCAACAGCCACTCCTCTAAAGAAAGATTGGGCAATCTACTTTCATAGAGATACCACCTAGGAGAAACCCAAGAAGGGGTTGCTATGAGTCAAATTAACTCAATGGCAGTGAGTTTGTTTTTTGGTTTTGAAATGGATGAATGTGGGCCAATTCTTTTTGGTACAGTGACTCTGTGTATTCCTTCTATCTTCTTTTGATGTTTCCTGCATCATTCAATATTTTGCCCATAGAAACTTTCAATATTGCAACTTGAGGCTTGATTTTTTTTTTTTTCACTTCAGTTCTTTCAGCTTGGGAAATGCTGAGTGCATTGTTCCCTTTTGGTTTTCCAACTGCAAGTCTTTGAATATTTCATTATAACAATTGACTTTGTCTTCTCGAGCTGCTCTTTGAAATCTTCTGTTCAGCTCTTTTATTCTGTCATTTCTTACATTTGTTTTAGCTACTACCCATTTAAGTTTCAGAGTCTCTTCTGACATCCATTTTGGTCTTTTCTTCTTTTCCTGTCTTTTAAATAACATTTGCTTTCTTCATGGATGATGTTCTTGATGTCATTCCACAATTCCTCTGATTTTTGGTCATTAGTGGGAGCTCTGGTGGTATATTGTCTAAGGCATTTGACTGCTAACCAGAAGGCTAGCAGTTCAAACCCATCAGCCACTCCTCAGAAGGAAGACTGAGCAATCTACTTCCTTAGAGATATTGTCTGAGAAACACAAGGAGGAGTCACTATGAGTCAGAATAGACTCGATGGCAGTGAGTTTGGTTTTTTGGTTTTGGTGCTCAATTAATCAAATTTATTCTTTAGATGGTCTCTAAATTCAGGAAGGATATAATCAAGGTCATATTTTGGATCTTATGGACTTGTTTTAATTACCTTCAGCTTCAACTTGAACTTGCATATGAGCAGTTGATGGTCTGTTCCACAGTCAGCTCCTGGCCTTGTTTTGGCTGAACATTATTGAGCTTCTCCATTGCCTCTTTCCACAGATGTAGTCGATCTGATTCCTGTGTACTCCATCTGGTGATATCCGTGTGTATAGCCACTGTTTGTGTTGTCAAAAAAAGGCATTTGCAATAAATAAGTCATTGGTCTTACAAAATTTCATCATGAGATCCCCAGTTTTATTTCTATCACCAAGGCCGTATTCCAATTACCGGTAATTCTTCTTTGTTTTCAAATTTGGATTCCAGTCACCAGCATTTGTCGACATATATTGATTGCATGTTTGGTCAACTTCAGACTGCAGAAGTTGCTAAAAATCTTCAGTTTCCTCATCTTTGGTTTCAATGCTTGGTGTGTGAAATTTTTAATAATAGTAGTATTAACTGGTCTTCCTTGTAGGCATATGGATATTATCCCATCACCGATAGCATTGTACTTCAGGATAAATCTTGAAACATTCTTTGTGATAATGAATGCCATTGCCATTCCTCCTCAGTTTGTCATTCCCAGCATAGTAGATCATATGGTTGTTTGATTCAAAATGGCCAAAACCAGTCCATTTCAACTCACTAATACCTAGGATGTCAATCTTTGTGTGTTCCATTTCATTTTTGACAACATTCAATTTTCCTAGATTCATACTTCATACATTCCATGTTCTGATTATTAATGGATGTTTGTAGCTGTTCCTTCCCATTTTGAGTTATGCCACATCAGCAAATGGAGGTCTTGAACACTACTCCATCCACATCATTAAAGTCAACTCTACTCTGAGGAGGCAGCTCTTCCCCCACTGTATTTTGAGTGCCTTCCAACCTGAGGGACTCATCTTCCCACATTATATCTGACAATGTTTGAAGGCTATTCATAAAGTTTTCCAGTAATATATCAATGTTTCACTGCTATTCATAATAATTTCTCTAGCCAATTCCTTGAGAAATTGATGGCCCCTTCTGAGTCTATCTTAGTCTGGAAGCTCCACTGAAACCTGTGCACCATGAGTGACCCTGCTGGTATTTGAGATACTGGTGGCATAGCCTCCAGACTCACAGCAACATGCAAGCAACTACAGTATGACAAACAGGCAGACAATTGGTGGATACATTGCCATACCTCTTCTAAATTTGTCTGCCAACGCCAGAATCATCTTGGACACAGTAAATTGATCATTTTTTTATAAGAATGGTAGTGTTTTAGTATTATAGTATCAATAGCTAATATTTGTTGCCAAAGTAGTATTTGAATAAATAATAAATGTTTCACATATACCTTCTTCACAAACACTACACAAGTTTCATCTTTTAAATTTTAATTTCTCAACTTTAAAGAGATTACAGTTATATTTTCTTAATCTCATTAAACAGATGCTGAAATTAAAATTTAGAGAAGTTAGGTAAGTTGATAAAAGTCACACAGCCAGGAATTGACAGAATAGGAAGCTGAATACCAGTCTGACTCTACACCCACATTTTGAGACACAACAATAAGCTGTAATACCTCCTGCTCATTGACCTGCATTATTACTGAGAGCTCAGCTATTCCACATAAGGAAAAAAAATTGACATTTTTTTTCTTGTAGCTTTGAAACTTTTAACGTTTACTGATGAAAACTGTTCTAAAGGTATAAGGAGTAAAATGAAGTTTAATTTAATCTTTTCTGGTGATCAAATTTTATTATAAAAGACCATTTAGTATTCTCTATTAAAATATAGTGACACCCTTAGGAGCTTTGAATTGAGTAACTAAACAGTTTGCAATTATAGTTTTAAAATTTGGATCTAGTTTTATAAGCTTTTTTTTTTTTTTTTTTTAATCTCCTCCCTTGAAAGATTGTTATTGGTCTCATCTCAATTGTCTCAACTCTTTTTAGTTTCTTATTTTGGCTTCTGATATAAGGTATCCCAAGAAACCTTAAAAAACTAGTTAAAAAACTTTAAATAAGATTAAATAAAAAAGTTACACATAATGAACAGTATAGTTCGTGGGTGGTATTTGTACAATTAAGGCATTTCTATTCCACATTACATTTTAAAATTACCAGAAATTTAAGGTAGATACAATTATTCTAAATGAATGATATTTGTAATTAAAGAATTCAATTACAGAAATATAAGAATTACATTACAATTATTATTTTTCAATTAAAAACATATTCTTTTTTTTATATTCCCAGTCTCTTCCTTCACATACCAATGAAATGTTACCTTATTTGGGAGTCTCAGGGTATTAGTTCCAATTATAGGCTATAAGCTATGCTTGCCCACTTTTGGCCACACATCGTGCTACATGATTTGCCTCATTTAAACTTCAAAACAATTCTCTAAGGTAAATATTACTGTCTCCATTTCAAGGTCAAAGAAACTAAAATCCAAAGAGGTTAGGAACTTGCCTAAGATCACAATGTGTGTGTGTGTGGTGCAGTGAATTACTTAATGTGGCCTTTTTTAGCTGTGGTCTTTGTGACTCCCACAAGATGGCTGGGTTGTTGTTGTTGTTGTTAGGTGCTGTTGAGTCAGCTCCAATTCATAGTGACCCTATGTACAACAGCATGAAACACTGCCCTGTCCCGTGCCAGCCTCTCAATACTTGCTATACCTGAGCCCATCATTGCAGCCACTGTGTCAATCCATCTTGTTGAGAGTCTTTCCCTTTTTCACTGACACTCCACTTTGCCAAGCACGATATCTTTCTCCAAGGAATAGTCCCTTCTGACAACATGACCAAAGTAAGTGAGATGAATTCTGGCCATTCTGGCTTCAAAGGAACATT